GCATGGTTTTTTCGGCCGTAGGAGGTGTGATGGTGTTCTCGGTCAGTTCAACGAAACCCCTACAGCATATGGAGTCACTGTTGTGCGGCTTGCACAGTAACGATTGTGCAGCTTGAGGTAGTTTTTTGGGTGAGGTAGTCTTTCGTGTTTGTGGTTGGTTCCTCACCAACTCTTGCGGTTGTGCTAGCATATGATTGGACGGTCTAATCGGTGCCAACCTAGTTGGGATTGACTGGGCTCGCTATTAAATATTATGGAGCTTTATTTTAAAAAATAATGATTTATCGAAAATGATTGTATATATTGAAATAATGGTAGGTGCGGTCGGTAGAGAGGTAGGTGTGGGAGTCTTTGGATGTGTTTCGGTCATAGTCCTTGGTCAATGGAGTTTTCTGGCATGGTTTTTTCGGGCATAGGAGGTGTGATGGTTTTCTCGGTCGGTTCAATGAAACCCCTACAGCATATGGAGTCACTGTTGTGCGGCTTGCACAGTAACGACTATTGTGCAGCTCATGAGAATTATTTCGGACTTTATTTTCATCATTTGAATTGTTTAATATTTAAAAAATATCAAGTAGAATATACTTGTAAAAAATCAAATTAATCGGATATTTAAAGACCCTTCATCAACTCACATTTGTATTTAGTTTAATACTTATATATTTATTTTTTTATATATACAAATTCATGTTATGAATGATCTATTAATATTCGATCAACTTAATTTTTTACAAATATATTTAACTTAATGTTCTTTAAAAATTAAATAATTTAAATAATGAAAATAAAATTCAAAATAATTTTCATAAGCTGCATATAGTTATTGTTGTGCAAGTCATATAACAATGACCCTGATCCCCGAAACTGCATGGTGGCAGTGATCTTTACACGTGCGTCACGATTTTTGATGTTATGGATCAGTATACTTCCGGCGTGGGGGTCTTGTCTTTGGTTTGTGTGGGGTTATTGAAAAGATTAGTGTTGTAGCTTTTGGTGGAATAAAAGAGCGTGGATTGGTGAAAAGAATAGTGATTTGGGTTGAAGAGTAGACTGTGGTTTGTTGAAAATAGGAGTGCAGCATGCGTGTTTTTTTTCTTCAAAAATGTTTTAGATCACTAATTAGTGGTGACTTTAATGATATGGCAGTGGGTCCTACTCACTGCCACATGTGTTTTGTGCTTTTTTTTTTTTCTTTTTTTTTTCAATTGCCACCTCACTAGTGGTGGTATTAGTGATGGTAAATTAGTGGTCTATAGCATTACTCTTTTTTCTTTTGAACGAAAAAGAAAAGGGTTCTAAAGTGTCATTACGGCCCGTGAGCCCTAATCTTGGGATAACTGGTTGCCAGTGCAGCATGCGTGTTGAAAATAAGATTTTTGTTTGTTGAAAATAGGGGTGCAGCATGCGTGTTGAAAAGAAGATTTTTGTTTGTTGAAAATAGGGGTGCAGGAGCAGCATTGGTCTTTTTGTTTTAGGTTGTGTAGGTTGATTTTGTAGAGATTTATGTATTTTATTTTTTTCAGTTAAGTCTTTAATTTATTTTATTTTATTTTTTGACATGTCATCTTTTTGTATTTTTAATTTTATATTGTTAATAAAAAATTTCTTTGCTTATAAAAAAAATAAAATAAAAGGCATTTGTTGATATTTTTTGAATAATTTTTAAATAAAAATTTATAATTTATAATATTATTGATAATGCACATTCATGAATTCTCCCAAAAAAAATATGCAAAATAATTTTGCTAGAATAAAAATTTGCGATTATTATGATATGTCCCATAATTAATTAGAACGCCTTTGAGAATTGAAATTATTAAGGTTATAGAAATTTTGTACCTGATTCCCTTTGAGAGAACTGTTTATGATTTGAATTTGTAATTTTTTATGCATTAGTGTGAATAATTGTAACCAACATCCACGGACACATGTCCGGATCACTGTATCACAAGGGAAAACCCGGGATCGCTATAATAATTCTTACGATCTTATTGGTATAAGTATAAATCCTACCTTTGAGTCAACCCACCTTAAGTACTTTTTCTTGTAATAAAATACTTAAATATTATCATATAAAAATATTATAATAAATTATAATTGAACACAACTTAAAGTATAATTAAAGATCCACCACTTTAGACATAACAAAAAATATAAGAAATTAGTAAAGATCTTTTCGATTAATAACCAAAATAATACACCATGAGTTATAATCAAATCATAATTTGCATATTATAATATTTTTCGATATTTTTATTTTTTTCGGAAAAAAATATTTTGACATAAGTAGAATTCATGATTTTTGGTAAATTTGATTAACATAAATGAAGATTTTGATTTCAGTTTGAGAATACATTTTTTTTTTTGAAAGAAATTATTTTTGTGAGCATTTAATACAGTAATAGAAATTTTCATCAATTATTAACAAATTTGTTTATATTTAACTTTCAATTATTAAAATTTTCTACACAAAGTATTAATATTCAAAATTATTTTTTTATTTTAAAAATAAATTTTTATATATCACACGGGTCACCTACTACTGGATATGAGATACCGCGTGTTGTACCTATGAAGAGAAGTGATTACGAAGGGAGACGTAGACTTTCCAATATGTATAACATGTTCAAACCTGTGTTTCTTTACATGAGAAATGCATTTCTAATTAATTAGGTAGATATGGTGTAGACGCTTAGGATCTATGGAAGTTCGTCATTTTACTTTTATATATAAAAGACTCACTACCTTACCTCCCCATCCTCAATTAAGGGTTATTTAGGTTGTCCTAAATAAGTGTATTTTTTGTCTTTTTAGATTAAAAAATTGAAAAGAAAAATATGGATGTTTAGGTTAACTTTTTGACTTTTTATGAAAAAATATGTATTAACAAATTGAGATTTTTATTGATAAATCCATTCTAGAGTTGTTATAACCCATTAGGTCCACAAAAGAATATGATAACCTGATTAGTCCCATAAACTTTTCTTTTTATTCCATAAGGTCCATTTTCCTAATTTAACATATTTTAGTGGACTATTTTGCCCCCATATATATATATATGTATGTGTACAGTGTTATACGCATTTACATATTATGTGCCTGTTTACGTGGCTGTTTCCTCGGTGATTCAGTTTGGCAGTTTCCATTTTACGTTTCTCTTCATCAATCCAATTCCAAGAGATACGTTTATGTTTTGCATACTCGTTCGAAGGATTGGTGGTGCTAGGGTTTCATTGTTGGTGTTCTAGTCTGGTTCTGGTTCTGTGGTTTGCGAGTGAAGATGACGAAGAGGTAGCTGTTCGGCTGTCACATTTTCCGAGCTTTAAGTAGCTCGAATCAGTTGTGTTCGACTTTCTGGAGGATTGTAGGATTGCAAGCGTGGATTGATGAAAAGAATAGTGATTTGGGTTGAAAAGTAGACTGTGGTTTGTTGAAAATAGGAGTGCAGCATGCGTGTTTTTTTTCTTTTGAACGAAAAAGGAAAGGGTTCTAAAGTGTCATTACGGCCCGTGAGCCCTAACCTTGGGATAACTGGTTGCCAGTGCTGCATGCGTGTTGAAAATAAGATTTTTGTTTGTTGAAAATAGGGGTGCAGGAGCAGCATTGGTCTTTTTGTTTTAGGTTGTGTAGGTTGATTTTGTAGAGATTTATGTATTTTATTTTTTTCAGTTAAGTCTTTAATTTATTTTATTTTATTTTTTGACATGTCATCTTTTTGTATTTTTAATTTTATATTGTTAATAAAAAATTTCTTTGCTTATAAAAAAAATAAAATAAAAGGCATTTGTTGATATTTTTTGAATAATTTTTAAATAAAAATTTATAATTTATAATATTATTGATAATGCACATTCATGAATTCTCCCAAAAAAAATATGCAAAATAATTTTGCTAGAATAAAAATTTGCGATTATTATGATATGTCACATAATTAATTAGAACGCCTTTGAGAATTGAAATTATTAAGGTTATAGAAATTTTGTACCTGATTCCCTTTGAGAGAACTGTTTATGATTTGAATTTGTAATTTTTTATGCATTAGTGTGAATAATTCTTACGATCTTATTGGTATAAGTATAAATCCTACCTTTCAGTCAACCCACCTTAAGTACTTTTTCTTATAATAAAATACTTAGATATTATCGTATAAAAATATTATAATAAATTATAATCGAACACAGCTTAAAGTATAATTAAAGATCCACCACTTTAGACTTAACAAAAAATATAAGAAATTAGAGTCCATCCATTTACTTTTATTTATTTATCTATTGTTTTTTCTTTGGAAAGTTCTCCATCCATTGCCTCTGGATTGGATCTATATGGTGTTTTTATAGGTTTAATTACATTTATCCTCATCAATTTTTACTAAATACTATTCTGTCTCTCTCAACTTTAAAATTACACATTTAGATCCATTAATTATAAATAATAAAAAAAACATACAACCATCTTCTTCCTGAAAGTGATTTTTTTAATAATTAAAGGGTTTAAATATGCAATTTTAAAATTGAATAGAATAAAGTGTAATAAACCTTTATTTTTATTTTTAATGAAGTTAACTTCCATAGACCTAATTTAAATTTAGAGATTTTTATTGATAAATCCATTCTAGAGTTGTTATAACCCATTAGGTCCACAAAAGAATATGATAACCTGATTAGTCCCATAAACTTTTCTTCTTATTCCATAAGGTCCATTTTCCTAATTTAATATATTTTCCTGGACTATTTTGCCCCCTATATATATATATAGTCGTCCGTGTGTGTGTGTACAGTGTTATACCTATTTACGTATTACGTGGCTGTTTACGTGGCTGTTTCCTCGCTGATTCAGTTTGGCAGTTTCCATTTCACGTTTTTCTTCATCAATCCAATTCCAAGTGATACGTTTATGTTTTGCATACTCGTTCGAAGGATTGGTGGTGCTAGGGTTTCATTGTTGGTGTTCTAGTCTAGTTCTGGTTCTGTGGTTTGTGAGTGAAGATGACGAAGAGGTAGCTGTTCGGCTGTCACATTTTCCGAGCTTTAAGTAGTTCGAATCAGTTGTGTTCGACTTTCTGGAGGATTGTAGGATTGCATGGTTAAGGTTAGTATCAATTTGATTATGAATACATGTTCAGTTCATTTGTATGATGGAGCAGATGCTCTGTTTTTGGATTGATATGAATTGGATGCGCTGGTTTTTCAATTATATGCTTCTTACGTGGTCCTGTGGAGGGGAGTACATTCATATTATGTGAAGAACAGTGTTAGTTCTCATTTTAGTTGGATGTATGCGTAATGAGGATCTGTGTAGATGATTTGATTATCAGTATATATGGCAATGTGAATGTTGACATTTTGTTAATGTGGATTATGTGAAGAATGTGGATGTTCTCATTTTAAATTGATGTTTGCTTAATGAGGCTCTGTGTGTGTGATATAATTCAGAGTGTATGTTTCAATGTAAATATTCAGATTTTCTTAATATTATGTGAAGTTTGTTGATGTTCTCATTGTTACTTTGATGTTTGCAATTTTGGCATATTGTTAATATAAATGTGAATGTTCACATCTGTGTATTTGTGAATTATGGATTTAGCACCTGAACTGTACACGTAGTAATTTTTGATTTTTTGCACAATGTGATTTTTCATGTCGATTTTGATTAAATGTGTAGTTCTCATTTTACTTGGACGCATGCGTAATGAGGATCTCTGTAGATGATTTGATTATCAGTATATTTGTCAATGTGGATGTTAACATTTTGTTAATGTGGATTATGTGAAGAATGTGGATGTTCTCATTTGAAATTGATGTTTGCTGAATGAGGCTCTGTGTGTGTCATATAATTTAGAGCGTCTGTGTCAATGTAAATGTTCACATCGTGCGAATATGATGTGAAGATTGTTGATTTTCTCATTTTACTTTGATGTTTGCTTAATGTTGCCATGTTGTTAACAACAATGTGAATGTTCACATCTTCGTATTCTGAAGTATGGATTTAGCACTTCAACTGTGCGCGTACTCATCTATTTTTTGCACAAAGTGAATTTTCATATTGATTTTTGTTAATGTTCATTGTTGTGTTTTTGTAGGAGATGGATACGTTTATGCTGTTGGTGTGTACATATGGTTGCAGTACAACTGTAATAAATGTTGCCCGCGCAATGTGTTATTCTCGTTTGGTGGAGTGTTTGTGTGAGAAATGGGATGAGTTGTCTGCTGGTTCTATTTCACTGTTCTGTAAACTACCTGGGATTAGGAAGTGTGATTTGGACAATGAGGAAGAATTTCAGAACATGTTACTGCTTGCTAAATCAATGGGGGTACAACATGTAGAAGTTGTGGTTGAGTTGAAAAGTGGTATTGGTCGGTCAAGTAGCTCGGGATCGCTGCGTGGTTACAATCTCAATGATTGTGTGGAACATTACTTTCATGTACAGACATATCGTGGAGCGTATTCGGGTGCCATATTCCCTATACCATCGGTGGAGAAGCCGCCTTTTGATCCCATGGACTTCACTATATACCCGCCAACTGTGAAAAGACCACCCGGAAGGCCGAAAAAGAATAGGATCCCATCAAGGGGTGAGAAACTTAAGCAAATAAGGTGCGGGAGATGTGATAAGCTGGGGAGCCATAATCGGAAGTCATGCAAGGAGCCGATATAGGATGTACATTTTTCATTTTAATGATGTTGTTACTATTTTGAAGAGGGATTATGGGCTAGATGTGAGTTACCATGTCGTATGGTTGGCTGTGGAGAAAGCAAAGGCTGGTATTCATGGAGATCACTCATTATCGTTTGACCAGCTGCGGTGGTATTCGGATGCGGTGATGCGGTACAATCCGGGGAGTTATGTCAATATTGACTATGATGCGAGTAGTCAACAGTTTCGTCGTTTCTTTGTGTCATTCGCTGCGTGTATTTCTGGGTTCAATTCTTGTCGGCCTTTATTATTCTTGGACGGAACATTCCTCAAAGGAAAGTACAAAGGTCAGCTACTGGCGGCAACGGCAAAAGACGGAAACTATGGTTAGTAATTTTTTTACCTTTATATTCGTGTCAATATTCACATTGACATGCATAGTATGGACAAATGAGTGATGGAGAAATTATAAGTACTGTGAACATTGACATTAGTAAGCACTGATGTGAATGTTTACATTTGTGTCTGCTGATGCCTGTAATGTGAACATTCACACTATTCTACACTGATACGTTCACATTATTATACATTTGTGCCTGCTAATGACAGTTATGTGAACATTCACATTCACATCAGTGTATACTACTGTCAGTTGATCCGTTAATGAACAGTACTATGAATGTTCACATTATCCATTGCTGAACAATCAAAAATGAATTATTGATGAGCGTTAATGTGAATGTTCACATCATTGTTGTTTATGAACTTTAATCCAGAAATAACAATAGTAATAGGGCAAGGTAGCTGTAAACATTCACATGACCTGTTTCGTTTATATTGTTTTCTATTCATTTTGGAGTAATGTGAACGGTTGTGTATTGGTGTTGTGTTGTAGGTCTGTTTCCTGTTGCATTTGCGGTTGTTGATTCGGAGACCACGGCGAATTGGTCGTGGTTCTTGCATGAACTTGGGAAGGTTGTTGATGGTAACCGGCAGATTACTTTTATTTCGGATCGTAATCTTGGCCTGTTAGAAGCTATGCCGAAGGTGTTCCCATCGGCTCATCACGGTTATTGCTTACAACACTTGAAGAGCAATTTAAGAGACTGGATGAAAGGAATTGATAATGGCTTCAGGGATCACCTAGTAAGTAGTTTAGGTGATTGTGCTTTTGAGCCAACTGTGGTAGGGTTCCATGAAAAGCTTGCAAAATTAAAAGATGAGGGTAAACAACGAGCACATGATTTTTTCAAGGACTTGGCACCTGAGCACTGGGCAAATTCATACTTCAGGTAATAATAGTTTCATAAAGTGTTTCATTGGTCAAGTCAGAATGGTAGCGATGTGAATTATCAGTTAGGATTTGTAAAAATCTTGCAATTGTGTTTCATGTTCAATGGCAGTGATGTGAATGTTCACATCTGCTAGTAATGACTGATTTGAATGATGTGAATGTCCACATCCGTTGTTATATTTTGCTGTTGTTAACATTCACATCATTCTGTCATTTAAGTTGATGTTAGTGTTCACATCTATGCATCATGTAAGTTGATGTTAATGTTCACTGCGAATGATGTTAATGTTCACATCACTCAACGTGAATGTTCAAACCTGTTAACTTTCGTTTTGTAAAATGTTTGTGATATTGTGCAGGGGCATGCGTTATGGGGAGATGACTTCCAATGCGGCGGAGTCATTTAATAACTGGATTAAAGAAGCGCGTAATCTTCCTATCACTCAAATGGTGGACACAATTCGTACTCAGTTGATGCGGCAAATGTCTGCACGGCGTGACCAAGCAAACAAATGGAATGAGCTTATTTGTCCTACATTTGAAACAAGGCTTATGGATTCGTTCAATCACAGCAGGTCTTGGCAAGTTAGCAAATCCAATGAGAATGTGTTTGAAGTTCATTCGATACCATCTGTTACTGTTGATGTTGCGAGGCGTACATGTTCGTGCTTCAAATGGCAAATCAACGGATTCCCATGTGACCATGCTGTTGTTGCCATTCAGAAGAGCCGCTACAATCTCAATGATTGTGTGGAACATTACTTTCATGTACAGACATATCGTGGAGCGTATTCGGATGCCATATTCCCTATACCATCGGTGGAGAAGCCGCCTTTTGATCCCATGGACTTCACTATATACCCGCCAACTGTGAAAAGACCACCCGGCAGGCCGAAAAAGAATAGGATCCCATCAAGGGGTGAGAAACTTAAGCAAATAAGGTGCGGTAGATGTGATAAGCTGGAGAGCCATAATCGGAAGTCATGCAGGGAGCCGATATAGGATGTACATATCGTAAGTGAATGTAAACATTAGTGCATATGCATTTGAATATCATAAGTGAATGCTCATCACAACACGGCATTATGAATATCATAAGTGATTATGAACATTCACATCAGTGTTGAAACTGTGAACAGTCATAGCTGTAAACATTAGTGCATATGAATATCGTAAGTGAATGTAAACATTAGTGCATATGCATTTGAATATCATAAGTGAATGCTCATCACAACACGGCATTATGAATATCATAAGTGATTATGAACATTCACATCAGTGTTGAAACTGTGAACAGTCATAGCTGTAAACATTAGTGCATATGAATATCGTAAGTGAATGTAAACATTAGTGCATATGCATTTGAATATCATAAGTGAATGCTCATCACAACACGGCATTATGAATATCATAAGTGATTATGAACATTCACATCAGTGTTGAAACTGTGAACAGTCATAGCTGTAAACATTAGTGCATATGAATATCGTAAGTGAATGTAAACATTAGTGCATATGCATTTGAATATCATAAGTGAATGCTCATCACAACACGGCATTATGAATATCATAAGTGATTATGAACATTCACATCAGTGTTGAAACTGTGAACAGTCATAGCTGTAAACATTAGTGCATATGAATATCGTAAGTGAATGTAAACATTAGTGTATATGCATATGAATATCATAAGTGCATGCTCATCACAACACGACATTATGAATATCTTAAGTGAGTATGAACATTCACATCAGTGTTTACAATTGCTATGACCAAAAACAAATGTGAATATTCACACATGTGTATGTGATCCGTAATTATGTCACGTAATTATGTCAGGTTCAAAGATAAGTTGAATTTTTTCTCACAACAACACAGCATTATGCATATCGGACGTGACTATGAACATTCACATTAGTGGTACAACTGTGGACATTCACATATGTAAAACATAACAACACCAAAATTAGTTCAAAATTCGCAGTTGCCTTTTCCCTATTAACAGATGTTGTATCACTGTTTTACAATCAGTTGTTGTGTCAAAATATCAACGCATTCCATATTAACATTAAAATCGACTGTTGGTTAGTTCGTAGGTGGACACCCCCCACCTATAGGTTTTAAGGAAGCTCTGATTTCTTATGATTCAAAAAACTGTGCACTAACAAATCTCGTAGTCCACACCATTCTGCACTACTGAGGCTGCCCACAATTTCTTCATGATATATGTGCGCCCGCATGATGTAACATACTGCAGGTCCGCAGTCCACTCTGTAAATGTGAAATGGTTTTGATTAGCAGTTGACATGAATATTTGCGTAATGGTTATGGACGATTTGGAAAAAATGTAGTGAGGCTTACGAGTCGTCGCCTTGCTGAGGACAGACATCAACACTTTTGGTTGGTTGTGCTGTATTTTGGCCTGCTAACTTAGTGTATAGCGGTGATGACTCGCCAGTAACGCTCACAACATGCTCAATGTAGTTCCTCTGTGTATGGAATTTCACATTAGGCACTTACAAACATGTGTGTGTACAGTCATTTAATGCACGAGAACAAGTCATGTTTGTGTTGAAAAATAGCCACTTACAATTTCATTTGTTTGGTCGATATGCGGGTCATGTATGCTTGTTCTTGGGCGCAACGAGTTGTAATGCTTCCACAAATTTTCTTTAGCATCATACACAACTATCGTCCAGTGGTACTCATGATGCAATGGGAATAGTAGGTATCTCTCTCCTTGGTAGTTTTTAACATGTGCATCAATGTGTTTACTCCTTTTGCGAGGATGGTACTCTTGTATCACTTTCTGTACACATTTGACAAATAATTAATGGACTGTGAAGTTTCACAGTCACATTACAAGTAATGGAATGATAGATTTTACCAAACAGATGCTCGTGAAGATCAATGAGGCTTCATCCGAAGTTGGGTTGACCACCTCTTGTTGTTCATGCAACATTTCAGCATATGCATCTATGAGCTGCACAAACATGGGGTCATATTATATAGATTTTGTGGTTGTGAGTGTGTGTGTATGTGTGTGCATATGCATGAAGAGTAAATTATATTTGTAATGGCATACATTGCTGTGTATTGATTCCTCCTTGATAAGGTTGACAATGTCATCAAAATACACATGTGTAGCCTTCGAATCTCCTTTCCACACCAGCAGCCTGTGCATTATTAACAAACCAATGTAAATATTCACATTGCATATATCTCAACAACCCAAAAAAACTGAACACAGTTAGGAATATAGACTATTACGGAATGTGAATGTTAACATTAGATATTTGCACAGTCACTTACTCATCGCCTCCATTTTTTTGTAAAGCTTGGACCTTTTGTTTGTCATGTTTGGACATCTTGGCCCAGACTTTGAACTTCTTGGTAAAGGATAATTTTTTTGGCTGCTTCGCTGGTGGATGTTCCTCCACATCTTCAACAATTTCGACTGGATGGGGCTGCTTTTGGCCAGGTAAGTCTGGGTATTGGAAGTCAGGCAGGCGATGTTCTTTGCGATCTTTTTCCTTTATACGCTTGACCCTAGAAGGTGGGCTGATATTGTGTTGCATTGGGCTAGGGGGTTGCCTTTCTGACATAGCTTGTGTGACAATGTGGACTGACTGGTCATCGTAAAGATCCTGAAGAATTGTTTTATCGCATTCTAAGTCGATGACCAGCTGCGTTAAGCATTTGATTTCTTGATCCTTCTGCTCCATGGACTTCTTCATTTCGATATTCACGTTGGGTGGGCTAGACTGGTTAAACAATCTATGTTCAAGATCAGCTATGACTCTTGCCCTCAACTCCCATGAAAATTGAAGGTGTTTGTACTTTGCTTCCCATTGCCTTATGACGCCCCAAGCCTTCCGATTTTCTTGGATAAGGACATTAATGATATCAGGTTGGTTTGTGTCTGGTATTACAATAGCTCTGTCATAATGTTGGCTGCTAAATGGAATGTGAATGTCCTCATCACTGTCCTTCAGGTCTACCCCATCCCCAAAAAAGTGGGAGCTGCTGCCACTGTGTTGTTCTCCCTTGATGTCAGAAATGTTGGGACATTTTCTGCCTGGTTCATAAATTTCAGGCTCCACCTTCAATGTTTTACGCTTGAACTTTTGTAATTCTGTTGGGATTGCAAAGAGTTCACCGACATTAACCTGGAAATGAAAAAATTATGTTAATTAACGCATATATTTGGGTGGTGTTATAATGTGAATGTTTGGATCACTAGTTGAAGGCCCTACCTCATTAAAACCCAAATATGCTAAGGAGATGGTTTTCATCTTCTTCTGCAAAGCAGTCAGATCCCACTTCACACAGCGAGGAAAAGGATTGGGTCTGTGAGGTTGGAGGATGGTTGTGTGCTCACACAACCAGTACTTCAATAAAACAAGAAACGCATATTGTTATTTAGCATTTGCAGAGTAATGGCAACCTATGTGAACATTAATCACAGTGGCATTGTTGTGAACATCCCAGTAGTACATTATAATTGAATGTGAACATTCACATCTGCGAATCGTGAACGATGTGGCACTGTTGTGAACATTCACAGAGTTATGTTATGAGTCAATGTGATCAGTCACATTAACTGCTTCAGATGTGAACATTCACAGTAGTGAAAACATAATTGCCTACAGAGCAGTGTGGTAAACATTCAGAGTGGTACATTATCATTGAATGTGAACATTCACACTGTTCACATTTGAATCACTGATGTGAATGATGACAGAAACATAAGTGCTGTGGCACTGTTGTGAACATGCACAGTAGTATGTTATGAATGGATGTGATCGGTCACATCAGTGGTTCAGATGTGAACATTCACATATGTGAAATATAATTGCCTATGGACATTCACATCAGAGGTGCAGAAGTTGGCTTAGATGAACAACACTGGAGGACATGTGAATGTTATTATTTGAAAACATGGGTACTTACCATCAATAACATGACACAGCCGGTGACTTTTGCTGGATTTTTGTCATTTTGGGAAATAGACGATGTCAACATTGTCCTAATTTGCTTGGCCCAATCATATTCTTGCATGCTTTCCAGTGGGACCATATGTGCGTAGTAGCCCCATCCTATTGTCTCTCCGCTTGTTGAGAAAAAAAGCTTCTGGCAAGCATACATGCACACTAGTCGGGCAACTTCTTCGTTGTCATCTTTCTTTTTTCCTTTCAATGCCTCGGTTAAAAGGGTTTGTATCCATTTTGAAGTCAACCGGCTTACGTTTTTGCATCTTCTGTTTACAATGCCAGTCTTTGGTTTCGCACCGTATGTTATGTCCATTGGCTTGCTGCCACAGTCCACACCGAAAATCAGCTTGATGTCGTTGTTGTGTATTTTCATCTTTTTCTGCCCAATATAGAAGGCATCTTCTGAAGCTTGGTACATTTGTAGTACATGCACAACAACATCATCATACTTCATGCATTTATCCAGGTCGATTTGATTGTTTCTCAATGCATCAAACAAATTCCAAAAAGGGGTTTGTCGAAGGCAACGAAGCTGTGCGTCTGTGAACTTGGTGGTTTTCATTAATTTGACTAGTCCTGTCATATTAGATCTGTAGTTCACATGGCGCTTGTCGACATTGGTGCAAGTATTTGTTTTTGGGGTTTCTTCCTTCGCATGGGACTCATCTCTTTTTCTCTTTCCGGTTTTCTTGTGTGCGACGTCTACAAAATGGAGCATTTAAAAAAAAATTAAGTGAAGGCTTCGCATGGGACTCATCTCTTTTTCTCTTTCCGGTTTTCTTGTGTGCGACGTCTGCAAAATGGAGCATTTAACAAAAATTAAGTGAAGGCTCATGTGATTAGCATAGTCGAACAGATGTGAACATTCACAGCATTTCCACTGGTGTGCATGTTCACAGTTGTGTGCGTTGGTGTGAATCACCAGAGTTTGTGTGCGGTTGTGAACATTCACATACGTACATGAATGTGTATTTCGACTGTGTCACGACAAACACAATGAACATATCGTGTCAGTGTGTGGTAAACAATGCATTTTTATACAACCATGAACATTGTTGAAGAGCATGTATAAAATTTTCAGGCAATGTGAATGTTCACAGCATATAGGAGCAGGACCAATAATATCTGATTGTCCTAAAATCGTCAGGGAATGTGAATGTTCACAGCATATACCAACAGCACAAATAAAATCTGACTCTCTTAAAATTTTCAAGCAATTTGAATGTTCAAAGCGTAGAACAACAGCACCAATAATAACTGACTCAACTAAAATTTTTCAGACAATGTGAATGTTCACATCCTACATCAAAAGCACCAATAATATCTGATTGAAGTAACAAATTCATGCAATGTGAATGTTCACATAGTAAAACATTAACACCACCAACATCTGACTCTCCTAAAATTTCCAGAAAATGTGAATGTTGACAGCGTAGAACAAGAACACCAATAACATATGACTGTGCTAAATTTTCAGGCAAATTTTTCAGACAATGTGAATGTTCACAGCCTAGCCCAAAAGCACCAATAATATCTGATTGAACTAAAACTTTCAGGCAATGTGAAAGTTCAATAATATCTGAATGCCCTAAATTTTCAGGCAAATTTTCCAGACAATGTGAAAGTTCACAGACTAGCCCAAAAGCACCACTAATAACTGATCGAACTGAAACCTTCAGGCAATGTGAATGTTCACATCGAAGAACATTAACACCACCGACATCTGACTCTCCTAAAATTTCCAGCAAATGTGAATGTTGACAGCATAGAACAACAGCACCAAAAATATCTGACTGTCCAAAAAATTTCAGGCAATGCGAATGTTCACAGCCTATAACAAGATAAACCAATAATATCTGATTGTCCTACAATGTTCAGGCAATGTAAATGTTCACAGTTTCCAACAACAAGAACAACAACAGAATTGGCCAAAGTGTGTCAATGCCTGTGAATTTTCACAGCATACAACAACAACACCATTAATACCTGATTACGCAAACATTTTAACTCTATGTGAATGTTCATATCTGTTACCAACAGCAACAGAAAAAGAACTGGTCAAAAAATTTTTGAAACCATGTGAATGGTCACAGCATTGAACAACAACGGGGGTAACATCTGGAATAATTTGATCATCAAACCATTTCCAAACAATGTGAATGTTCACATTTTTCAATAACAACAACTACAACTAGAACATTGTCGATTGTTGACAGTTGTGAACACAATGTAATGGCAAGTGTAATGTTTTTGAGTGCAAAAATGAAAAAATTTAGGGATTACGATTGAGGGGTTCAGAATAAATGAATGCTTACGTTTTTTGCCCATTTCGACGACAAAGATGTTGAGACGAAGGGACGATTCGACGAAGAAACGTATACAGTTTTCTGGGCGTACGAATGGCGAAGAAGATGATGAGACGATGTGACGATCGAACGAAGACAGGCTTCTCGGCGTATGGATGGGGAGAAGACGATGAGACGATGCAACGATGCAACGATGGAAGGAATACAGTCTTCGGGGCGTCGAGGCGATGTGGAATATGGTTTGGATTTCTGGACTGTAGAGGTACTGTGCGTGATTTCTTGCGCAAGAATAGAGAGGGGAAGAGAAACGGTTATTAGATTCAAAGAGAGAGAGAGAGGGGCGCGTGTTTTTTTAGGGCTTTTTTGGTCTTTTTGTATAAAATGGACCTAATGGAATATTATAAAACAGTATGGGTTTCCTGGAACTCCACTCTGAGATAATGGATTTACTAAAAAAACTCTCTTAACTAAATTACTAATTTATGCATTGACTTAATTAACCCCGCTTTTGTCTTAACTAATTATAATTAACACTTGATTAGTACATAATTTAATTAATCACAACTAATCAAAATCCCACATTGTGGAATATGGTTTGGATTTCTGGACTGTAGAGGTACTGTGCGTGATTTCTTGCGCAAGAATAGAGAGGGGAAGAGAAACGGTTATTAGATTCAAAGAGAGAGAGAGAGGGGCGCGTGTTTTTTTAGGGCTTTTTTGGTCTTTTTGTATAAAATGGACCTAATGGAATATTATAAAACAGTATGGGTTTCCTGGAACTCCACTCTGAGATAATGGATTTACTAAAAAAGCTCTCTAAAAAATTGTATAAATTAGTGTGTAGAGAAAAATTAGGATTGGAAGTTGTGCAGCTGTAATTTTTGACTTTTGGTGAATAGTGATAACTTTTTAACTTTTTGAATAACTTTTTAGTTTTTTACTTTTTTCAGAATTGCCAAACTTGGCCTAAGTTTCTTTAAAGTTTTCATTAATTCCCCTATTATAGAAACATGCAATTGTACGCATCTTATTCTTTTCAAACTTTGATAAATTTGATTAACATAAATGAAGATTTTGATTTCAGTTTGAGAATACATTTTTTTTTTTAATTTTTGAAAGAAATTATTTTTATGAACATTTTATATAGGGTCACACACAAAGTAATAAAAATTTTCATCAATTATTAACAAATTTATTTATATTTGATTTTCAGTTGTTAAAATTTTCTACACAAAATATTAATGTTCAAAATTATTTTTTTATTTTAAAAATAAATTCTTGTATATCACACGAGTCACCTACTAATAAATATAACATACCACGTGTTATGCTTATTAGGGGTGAGCAGCGGATATACTGATCCGTCAAAACCGACCGAACCGAACTGATCCGCCGCATTTTTGACAGATACGTGATGACGAGCGGATGGTTGTGGATTGATTTTCTCCAATCCGCCAATTTGGCGGACGGATGACGGATTTGAGCTTCCTTTGGCCGCAACCGAACCACTAAACTACGAACACCCTTAATAATTTATAAGACTTTGTGTTTTCAATTTGTTTAAATATTTTGTTTGTGTTTTCAATTGAAAAAGAGTTCAAATATTCTGTTGAAAATTTTTTTTCAACTTGGATATATTTTTTGAATTGAAAAAAATAAACATATTATTTATCTATATTTTTTGGTTTTTAATCTAACTCTAAAAGTGATAAATAGAAAATATAACATATGCTAGTTGGTTTTTGTTTTAAAAAATATATATAAATGTAACAGTACAGAGACATACAATCTCTACTATTGCTCTGCTCATGGTTTTGATGGTTTGAATTGTTTTTATATTTTAAGAACCACAGATTGTAATATTTTATGTGAATGAGACGATTGTGATATTCTAAAGTTTCAAACTTTCTTTCTTTGGATGATGCATGCAGTAATTGTAATACTTTTTTAAGTTATTGATTGTAATATTTTTTTTTTTTTTGAGGAAGTGCATAAGTTGAACTATGTTGAAAATTTACGAAATTTCAAACCGCCAAACCGATTCGCATCCATCCGCCAAACAGCCAATCCGCTCAATCCACATCCGCCGAATTGGCGAACGGATGCGGATTGATTTTCTCCAATCTGCCAATCTGGCGGACGGATGACGGATTGGAGGTTTCGTGGCCGCAACCAACCCGAGCCCGCCCCTAATGCCTATGAAGAGAAGTGATTATGAAGGAAGACGTTGACTTTTAAATATATATAACATGTTCAAACATATATTTCTTCGGGAACAGGGTCCCTGCTGTGCTCAAAGCACAGCAGTGACTGTAGTGTCTCCGTTTGAATTATATTATGATATTATTTTTATGATCTATACTATTCATATTGTAGGGTTTGTTGAGTACTTCATGCCTACCAAAAATCATATTAATCGGATATCAATAACTATATGATCAAATCGCATATTGTTTATGCTATTTCTCAAAAGAAAAACTTATTATTTATTTTTTTTGTTATCCATCATATAGTTGTTGATAGCCGATTAATATGATTTTTAGTAAGTATGAAGTACTCAACAAACCTTACAAAATAAACAGTTTGGATAATAAAAATAAAGTCATAATACACCTCAAACGAAAGCACCAACTATTTCTTCACATGAGAAATGCATTTCTAATTAATTAGGTAGATATGGTATAGACCACTTCAGGATCTACGAAAGTTCGTCATTTTACTTTTTATATATAAAAGACTCACTACCTCACCTCCCCATCCTCAATTAAATTTCTTTAAAGTTTTCATTAATTTCCCTCTTATAGAAACATACAATTGTACACATCTTATTCTTTTCAAACTCTGCAGTAGCAAACGTTTCAGCTTTTAAAAAAATTATTCTCAACTCCCTTGTCCTCCTTCCAACAAACCAAAGAACTACCACACACGATACATAAAATTGCATGTATCTGTTTTTTCTCCGACTGCAATAGTGAGAGCCACGCATTTTAGAAGGTTTCACTCTCAACTCCCTTGTCCTACCTTTTACAAACCAAAAGAACAACCACCCAAAGAAGCCTACATGTCTTATGTTCAACCCAACATGGTCTCAAACTCGAACTTTGACGAGGATCAATGGGTTATTCAAATTCGTCGAACCCTAGACGAAGAGCTCGAAGACGGCACTGAAATCCCTGTCAGCATCTTCAATGTCCCCAAAACCCTAATGGTTTGTGATCCGGATTGTTACATTCCACAAGAAGTAGCATTAGGTCCTTACCATTACTGGCGTCCTGAGTTGTATGAGATGCAAAGATACAAGCTTGTTGCAGCTAAAACAACACAAAGGCAACTTCAAAACATCAAGTTTCACCACCTAGTCGACCAACTAATGACGTCCGAGGCAATGATTCGAGCTTCATACCATAAGTACCTGGATATCAATGGTGAAACCTTGGCATGGATGATGGCCGTTGACGCATCATTCTTGCTTGAGTTCCTTCAAATCTATACTATCAAGGAAGGTAAAGCGTGCATGCTAACAAGAATTTCATCGAGTATGTCACATTTTCTTGATATTGAAAGGAGGAAATCAGCACATAATGCCATTCTTAGAGATATGGTGATGCTTGAGAATCAAATCCCACTATTTCTGCTAAGGACGATGTTGGAATTTCAATGTTCGTCATTAGACTTGGCTGATCAATTGTTGCTCTCCATGTTAATGGGGTTCTGTAAAGAGCTTTCTCCGTTTAAGATGATTAAACAATTGCCTAATTTTGATCAAGTTACGAATTGTGCACACTTGCCAGACCTTCTATACCGTGTGATCTTGCCAAAATGGGAACAAGAATTCGATGTTAACACTGATGAAGTTGATGATCAAACTGAAGTTAAAGAGAGCAACGAAAGATCCTTTGGGAAGTCAGTTTATGTCAGACAACTTCTCGATGCGGTTTGGAAGCTCCTTTCGAAGCTAAACACTGGGCCGATACCTTTTCTCAAAAGGGTATTATTTTCAAAACCTGCGAAAGTCATATCGAAGTTGCCCTTGAATATCATCTCTGAGCTTCCTGGATTCTTATTCTCCCCCAAGGACCAAGAAGACAACCCCGAAGATCAAAATTCTTTGAACAGCACCATTAACAAACCTCTACTAGTGGAGGAAATCTCAATCCCTTCTGTTACTGAACTCTCGAAAGTCGGTGTATCTTTCATACCCAGTAGTAATGACAACATCTGCTCCATTAGTTTCGATGTTAAAACAGCTACATTGTATCTCCCTACTGTTAGTCTAGAGCTAAATACAGAAGTGGTCTTGAGAAACCTAGTAGCATATGAGGCATGCAATGCATCCGGGCCATTGGTTTTTTCTCGTTACACTGAATTGATGAATGGGATTATCGATACCGAAGAGGATGTGAGATTACTTAGGGAAAAAGGGATTATTTTGAACCGTTTGAAGAGTGATAAAGAGGTGGCCAACCTATGGAATGGGATGAACAAGTCTGTTAGGTTGACTAAAGTGCCCTTCTTAGACAAAGTGATTGAAGACACCAACAAGTATTACAATGGGAAGTGGAAGGTTAAGGTGGGAAAGTTCATGAAGCTTTACGTGTTTGGCTCATGGCAGTGTCTTTCATTTTTGGCATCTATTTTGCTCTTGTTGTTGACCACTTTCCAAGCCTTTTGCTCAGTGTACAACTGTTCTCGTTTATTTCATGTCAAGAGCATTTTGTGATTCAATGAGAGTCTATCTCTATCATAGGCGATGGAGGTTTTGATTGGTTCATAGTTTAGGTATATATACTTGCAATTAATTTGAATATCTTTTATAAATTAATTTTTGTATAAGATTTTCAATGTAACAATTGAATCAGTTGTATTTCTTTTAAACAAATGAAAATCTATGGACACTGAAAAATATATTATAAAAATAAAATGGATGACATATAAATTTCCTATTATGAGTCACATTCAACATAAAATGAGTCTTTAGCGCCACAATCCTCCCAAGCTAACCATTTGACGGAGGTATATCATCAGTATTTGAAAGTTGGTTTTCACTTAGGATGAGATAAATCCCAATAGAGATAAATTTAATAATCTATATGATACTTAACAAAGCTATATGGTGAATCCATATGAATGTCATTATCAAAACATGCATTTTCTCTTTTAAACAATGCAACGCTATGTTTATATCCCAATTAATAAATCATTCTTTCCAAAATAGAAAATAGGACAGTAACACACTGGGAATTTCTAGATACGTGTTTGCAAGTAGGCTATATGTTAATCATGTGGTTTAATTTTGATGATGTCTAAAATATGATGGGATAATTTGTGATTTTTAAATATACATATTTTATATTCTTTGACACAAAATATTTTCTATTTATAATATATGTTGTATGATATATTTGTTATAAATATTTTTAAAATATAAGTTACTATGCTATATCTGATTTTACAAAAATATTTTAGAAAACTTACTATTCACGTGTTGAAAAATCCGATTGTCCGCTATTCATCTTTTGACAAATTTGCTATTGATTGGTTATCTTCTTTTGATAAAATTGATATACCCACATGGGTGGTGGGTCATTTTTTACTAAAGTGTATTTAAAATCTCTACGAAAATTGTAAAAGGAGTATATATTTTTAGATATGATATAAATATTATTTAAAGAGATTTTACTATACATAATTTTAATTTTAAAGTTATTGTGCGGTAAAATATTTTAATAGAAAATTTACTATGCAGTCACTGTGTACCATTTGATTTTTCTATGAAAAGTTTGAAAATTTAGTCTTAATTATTTATCGAAAGCGACTTTTGGCTATATTTTTCCACCCTCCGCCTACAAAATTTGGAAAGGAAAATTGCCCATTGCTCTATGTGTCAAAGGCATCAAATTCAGGATGAAGAGCGCCTCTCCTCCAACAGATATGAGCATCTCTTCTCTTCCTCCAACGGATATAATTTTATGATATATACGGAGTATTTTGGTTGGAGAAAAATAAGTTGTAAAGAAGTGAAGAAAAGAAAAATATGTGATATTGAAATATTTTCAAATATTGAATTGTACTTCATTGATTTATATTTTCTGTGAAAAAAATTATTGAGAGTTTGAGCAAAATTGTAAAAGGGTTTTCTATCTCTTATTCATATTATTCTTGTAAAAAGAGAGTTTTTGTGAGTGATTTTTTGAGATAAAATCACTTGGTTCATTGTGACTAGGCACCAGATTCTAAACTAATCGGAGTGTGATTGAGATTGGTCACTTGTTGTAAAGGTTAGTAGCACTCGTGAAGCTAGTGGTGTAATTACTGTTTGAAAAATAGTAGGCAAATTCTCGAGGAGGATACTTAGAGAATGGACATAGGCTTAGCGTGTCAAACCACTATAAATATCTATGTTTGATTTCTCTTCGCTTTGCTCATTTTATTTCATTATTTTATTTTATATTGTTGAGCATATTTATTTATTTATTATTTGATTAATTTTTAATTTGACAATTTATTTAGAAACCCAATTCACCCTCTCTTGGTTTGCCTATCTAGGATAATAATTTGTATCAGAGTAAGTGCTCTTATTTATTTTTTGACTTAACCGTCTAAGAGTAGATCATGGCAACCCATTTTGATGTTAATTTTACTGAAGGTCAATTGCCCTATAGACCACCATTGTTTGATGGCTCAAATTATACAACTTGGAAAGCAAAAATGAAAATTTTCATTCAAGCTTTTAACAATGAGCTATGGAGAATTATAATCAATGGTCACAAGATACCCTCCAAGACCATTCAAGGGTGAATTTTGCCCAATGAAGAACTCGAATTGGATAATAATTATTTCAGAAGCATTCAAATGAATGCCAAGGCCATGAATATTTTATTTTGTGCTTTAGATTCTAATGAGTTTAATAAAATTTGTACATGTGAATCGGCTAGGGAAATTTGGAATAAATTAGAGATCTAGTAAATATTATACTAATGTTGAATTGATAAGAAAACTTCTCAGATCTTTGCCAAAAAATGGGAGTCAAAAGTGACTGTTATTCAAGAAGCAAAGGATTTAACAAGATTGAGCATGGAAGAGCTTTTGGGGTCTCTCAAGACCCATGAACTTGTAATGATGAATAGAAGTAAAAATAAAATTCAAGCCACATGGGCAGATAGCGATGAAAGTAACTTAGAAAACGATGACAATAACAATTAAGTTGCTAATCAATGCCTAATGGCATTTGGAGATGATGATGAGGTATGTAATTCTAACAATAAATCTTATTATTTTGATGAATTACAATCCGCATTTGAAGAATTGTATGATGAATTTTGAAAACTTAGCATTAAAAATATTGCACTTAAAAAATTGCTTTCAAATTCAACAAAAAAAAAATGAATATTTATCTAATAAATTGAAGAGTTACAAAAATATTTTTTAAAGATAAAAGAAGAAAATGATATTTTGAAATCAAAAGAATCTCCTATCTTGAAAAATGAATTAAATAATTTGAAACTTGAAAATGATGTTTTTAAAAATGAAAATAAAATCTTGAAAAATAAAAATGAAGTTTTTAAAAATGAAAATGATATTTTGAAAAAGAAAAATGATTCTTTAAAAGAAAAAAATAAAAATTTAAATAAAATAATTTTCAAGTTTACCCAAGGAAAAGAAAATTTAAATAAATTATTTGGAAATCAAAGATGTATTTTTGACAAAGCTGGTATTGGGTACAAACCCCACAAGAAACAAATGTTTTATAGAAATTTCTTTGTTAAAGAATCATTATTTAATAATCCTAATATTGTATGTCATTATTGTAATAGAAATGGTCATTCAATTTCATCTTGTCAATTTAAAAAGGGATTACATGGAACAAAAATTATATGAGTTCCTGTTGGATCAATCTTTGTGTAGAGAAATGAAACTTGAAATAACAAAAATAAAATACTTACTGTAATATTCTTGTACCGCAAAGTTAGAATAGAAACTTTTGATCAAGTCGAGTGTGTGACACTCTGTCCTTAAGATAGATTCGCCGCTGCACAGGTGCTTATAGGTTATTGGTGTCTATCTCCCAATATACAATGGCGGTGTTTGAGAACTTGGTTTTTGAGTTTTTTTTTTTTTGTTTTTTTTCACTACAAGAAAAATGTTTTACAAAACCAAAAAAAAACAAATCCAAACAAAATATCACAGCAAACCCCATAATCATTTCACTTTTTCTCTCACAAATGTCACATCCAACTACAAAAAAACCCAACTATCTTCCCAAAACAAAAAAAAAATTCTCCAATAATATCCTACAACTAAAAAACCTACAAAAAAACCCACTTTCCAAACACCCACAATGATCAGAAAACGTAGATTATAGCAGCACTACAAATAATCTGCTAGGCGAATCAAACCCATGTTCTGCAACTCTCTGAAATCTCTAACTAGTATGAAGAATATAAAATAAAATAAAATAAAAATGCTTGAATTTGAGAAATTTTGGAATAATTATTAAAATCAAAATGGGGCTGCCTTTATATAGATTTTGTTGGCACCTATATAGTTTGAATAGAAAAGACATAAAGAAGGGACATCACCCTTCCTTTAAAATAAAGAGACACCATAAAAGTTTGCACCATTTCATTCAAATGGAGTCTATTTCAATTCACCACTGCCTTTAGAAATTTTCCTAGAGTTTCAAAATCAAGCAATTCTAAAACTAACATTTATGGACCCAAAAAAGTATGGGTACCAAAATCGAAAACTTGATTTTTTTTGTAGGTGTGATTCAAAGTGAAATCCGGTAGAAAAAAATGGTATTTGGACAGTGAATGTTTAAATATATGACCGGAGACAATATTCACCAAATCTTCTTGGATGAATAGTAACTACGCAACATTCAGCAACAACAATATATAATCGGTATAGATGGCATCAGTAAAAGTTGGTTTTCAAATTTGAAAACATCTTATTTGATGATAAACTTTCTACTCGCTTGTATACATAAATATACCATTGTTATATTTTTTTTTTTGCCATACCATGCTCACATGATATCATATAAGCCACGAGAATGATTTAGATAATAGGGGGAAAAAAATTGTGATTTCATTATATCTTGATTATCTTTATTGAATCACATTTTATTTTGATGATGTAGGATATTGATTAAATGAAATATTTTTTATGTGGCTTAATATATTTTACATTTTGAAAAATTCAAAAATAGTATTCTAAACTCTTAATTGATCATGACACTTATTGAAATCTTCTCATATTTTGAGTTTATCTATTTTTATTAAAGATAAAAGAGGAGAGTAAAATATAACAATATTTATTATGTACTTACTTAACTTGATATGATTACATTTTATACATTATATGTTTCATGTGATTGTTTTATGATTGCTATATCTATACAAAATCACCATAGAAAAAGGAAGCACTAACTTAGAGAGAGAAATAATTTTGCTAAACATTTTTATGAGATTTTTTTTTATAAATTCTCTCTCTATCTCACCCACTCTCTCTCTCTCACTCTCTGTTTCTCTTTCTCTCTTTTGCTCTCTGTTTTTCTTTTTCTCTTTCTCTCTCTCTCACCCGCTCTCGTTCCCTATCATCCTCCCACAATAATCTATCACCACCATCATTTATCTAAATCAATCTCCAATATACCCAAATCCATCTTCGATCTACATACATCTTTCTCTGATCTACACAAAACCGTCTCCGATCTAC